AGATGGGAAGACCTGGTCACATTCTCCCCAGAGAAAATGACTGGGTAAAACTGGGGAGAATTTCCCCTTCTGTCTAAAAGGCCACCTGTCATCAAGAAGAAAGATTTGATTTGATTTGATTTATTGGATTTGTGTCCCGCTCTCCCCTGTGTCCAGGCTCAGAGTGGGTAGTATCATTGATAAAAACATTTAACAATTCAATATTAACATTTCCAGTACATAAATACAATAAAACAATATGTAATAGAATACATAGTACTGTAAACCAGCAACATAATTAAAAGATGGCATAAAACTCAGGGGGGAGTGATGTATAATCCACCTGATCTGAAAGAAGAGGGAAGCAGAAGGGGAGAGAGAGGGAGAGGCCAGTTAGATATGGGACCCATCGCTGTCCTATCATTTCTAAGGCCCTCCTTCTATTATCATTCCTTCTTTTTATCTTTCCTTGAGTCTTTCTGCTCTAGTTTTTCATTTCGGTTTAGGTTTTGTTGACTCCTCCCTAGAAAGAGGGGAATCATCATTCAGGTTACTTTGTGGAGACACCCAAACCACAAGACTTTGGCCAGGTAGATACGAATTAGAATTAAAGGGTTAAGCTTAATTTAGGCCCCGGTCACACGGGCCAGATAACGCGGGGGGGAGGCATGGCTGTTCGCCCCAGAGCAAAATAAAGTGCGGTAGCCTGATCACATAGTCCTCCGAGGCTCTGTGCTTCGGCTGTTAGCTAGCGATCACACGGTGATGCTGCAGTGTGGCAAAGAAGTGGTGCGGCGCGATCACGCAGGCGTTTCACGTTTGTGCGCATGTGCAGTTCTGCTTTCAGTTTTGTGTTTGAGCGCATGTGCTTACGAGAAACATCCGGTTTGCGACGGGACGTGGACAGGCGCCAGATTCCACGGGATACTAGCACTCGTGCGATCAGATGCCTGCCTGTGCCGCGCATTTTTCGGATACTAGTGCACTTTCCTTGGTACTTTTAAACTCCGCATCTTTGGCGGGATGCCACGGGTTGGCCATGGGTGCGCTACACTTCCCAGATGTTGTGGTGTGATCGCGCCCCGAAAATCCACCCGACATTCGTGCCTTTCGTGCGGCAAATTCTCCGTGTGACCAGGGCCTTCGCTTGGTAATTAGATGGGCTGGAAGTAGGGTTGCCAGATCTGGGGGGTGGGAAATACCTGGAGATTTTTGTGGGTGGATCCTAAGGAGGGTGGGGTTTGGTGAGGGGAGGGTATAATGCCACAGAGTCCACCTTCCAAAGCAGCCATGTTCTTCAGGTGAACTGAACTCTATTGCCCGGAGATCAGTTATAACCCCACGAAATCTCCAGCCACCACCTGGAGGTTTAATCAAAAAATACCAGAACTGTAAAAATATAACTAATGAAAGTTCAATACTTCAGTATGTTCTTATTAGGCTTACCAAATCTCGCCAAATCGCAGCGGGGGATCCGCATGTCTTCGCAGAATCTGTGCCGCGGGAACGGCGAGATGCGTTGCACCGCCGTCGCCAGGACATGACGATTCGCGTCGCTCTGGCAACGGGGCTGTTTGGAGCCCCGTTGCCAGAGTGACCCATAGCATCACATCCTGGCGATGGTGGGTGAAACGCGTCTCGCCGTCCATACGGCACGGATTCTGTGAAGACATACAATTCCCCGCCGTGACTTGGCAACCCTAGTTCTTATTATAGTGCCTATGTCTCGACAACAGTACATACCTTAATCCAGGGGTAATTTCGTAGAAAAAGAGGGTTTGGATTGCTAGCTATTTTGGGGGGGGGAATGTGCAGATCTGTCCTCGCAGAGGAGGGAGAGCTTGTACCTGAATAATGCTTGGTCTTAAAGGTGCCACTGGACTGTTTTGGGCCGGGGGGCCAGGGGGAGCTCTGCAACTTACCTGGCTGCTTCTTGCTCTGACTGAGGGCTGCTGGGAGCAGGGGGTGGGGCTTGTTGCATGTGCCCACCCCCTGGGCTCTTTAATGCCGGAGCTTTGCTCCTGTGCACTCCTGCAGGAAATGACCCCTGCCTTAATCACAATAAACCGTTCATTGTCACTATCACTAACAGTCCATTCTAATGATGAATGAAAGTGCCTGTAAGTGTTTTTTCCGAGATTAAGGTGCTTGTGCTGTAGTAAAGAGTCCTGTGTCCTTTGTTCTTTCAAATCCAGCAACTGTGGATGATTTATGGACGTTCTAATGGAGCCTCTAAAGAACAAAGGACATATGACCATTTACTACAGCACAAGCACCTTAATCTCGGAAAGAACACTTACAGGCACTTTCATTCATCATTAGAATGGACTGTTGATAGTGACAAGGAATGGTTTATTGTGATTAAGATACATACTGTTGTAGAGACATATGTACCATAATAAGAAAATATTGATTGAACTGTCCATCGGTATAATTTTGCGGTTCTTGTATTTTTTTTTTAATTATACCTTGTTCCCATGGATCTCTCTGGGTTATATAACCACCTGGAGGTTGGCACCCCTAGCTGGGAGGGATTTGGCACCAGAGCACCTTCAATGTAGAAGAAGAGATTGGCTTTATACCTCGCCCTTCACTACCCGAGTTTTACAATCTCCTTTCCCTTCCCCTCCCCACAACAGACACCCTGGTTGGTATGTGGGGCTGAGAGAGCTCTCTTGAGAACTGCTTATGAGGGAACAGCTCTGAAACAACTTGTAACTGACCCAAGGTCACCCCAGCAGCTGCATGTGGAGGAGTGGGGGAATCAAACCCGGTTCTCCCAGATTAGAGTCCATGCTCCTAACCACTACACCAAACTGGCTCTCGCTATTTGGAGTTGTCCTCCTGATGTTTCTTTTCAGCTACTATCCAAAATGCAGCCGATGGTTACATCCACCACTATTAGTATATCATGTTTTGATGCCCCTCCCCCATTTGCTAGGAACATCAGTCATTTCAGGGTCTACATTGCGAAAGGGAAAGTACCACGTTCTTTTGTTTGCGTATCTAATGCAGTGAGTCATTTCATTGATCAGTTATCCACAGGATGCCTTCTAAAACCATTCTCAGCTTGCTTCAGCCACACGGCCACCTTTGTTCCAAGATTGATCCTATGCAGCTGTTGATCAGCCACGTTTGTTTCTTTACTGATAAAGAATCCAAGATTGATCCTATGCAGCTGTTGATATGCTTTGCCTGCAAGAGGACAATATTGGCCCACACTTCCTTAATGTATGCTGGAACAAGCTGTTACAGGCAGGGCTCTTTTTGTAGAAAAAGCCCAGCAGGAACTCATTAGCATAATAGGCCACACCCAACAGCAGGAACTCATT